TAATTTATTAAGTTTAAGTCATTAAAATTAAAAGCTTAATAAATTAAGTTATTAGGTTAAAAATATTTTTAATTTAACGCCTAATTTATTATTTATAAATGTTTATAATATTTTTCACTAACTCTTCTTTCTTCATGATATTGTAGTAATTCTTAATAAACTCTAAATATTTTTTAATGAGAAATATTAACATTTTATTCAAATATATATATATATATATATATATATATATTAATTGTGAAAGTTTTATAATTATAAGAATATTTTCAAAATATAAAATAGTAAATATTTATATTTCTCAATCATTATAAATTATCACACCTTAGATTCATCCAATATCTCTAAAACACGACAAAAACTATGTAAATAAACAAGTTTTATAGGAAAAAAAAATCAAAAATTATTATTATATAGTTTAAATTTCAGCCAAAATATTTATTAATAATTTTTTCTTTAGCTTTTAATAGTATTTATGATTTAAATTAAAAATAACTATTTTTAAAATTGTTTTTTTTATCGAAAATATATTTTTAACCAATGAATGAAGGTTGTTGTTCTGGACTGGACTGTCATATGCCCCACAGTTGGGTAAGGTCCAATCCAGTTTAGCTTAAGGCCAAACCCAATAAGGAGATTAGGACAATCTAGTTGTTGGACACAATCTAGCCGTTGGGCACAATATAGCCGTTGAACACAATATGACTGTTGAACACAATATAGTCGTTGAAGCATATAGCCGTTGGGGACATCCCCCTCACGCGCTTGACAGTTCACGCGACCAATTTCCCCTCCGAAATTCACGGGGACGGTTGGACTATGTCAAAGATCACGCACTAGATCTTTCACCTGACAGTCTCCCATTGGTCGGTCAGTTGTTTTAACCACATGGGAGACCTTGGTCCCGCGCTGGGGGGAATCTTATAAATACCCTCTCTCTTGAGAGGGTCAAGTATTCTAATCATTCTAATTCATACCTAAACACTTGTACTTGCTTTCTCTCTAGCCCAAAAACTTACTTTGACATCGGAGTACCTTGCAGGTATACCCCCTCCTCTCCTACAATCACTGTTGCTGCTCTACATTGAAGGTCACGACGATCCATTCTGATCACTCCAGATCAGTGGCGCCGTCTGTGGGAACCTAGCTCCCCCGTCTTTTGAACCAAGACCCCCCAATCTTTCCATGCAAAAGACCAAAGTTATTTCTCTCTGAATCTTCATCGTCATGGCCTCTCACCATAATGACATTCATCAAGATTTCGTCATCGCCACTCTGGGTTGCGGGGAAACCCCCATTCTCAGAGCTACTATCGGGGTGAACGATCACAGGGCTGGGAAGCTTGCGTCTCCATCCTCCGACAAGATGAAGCCCCACGTCCAGAATACCGATCACGTCTACGAGCCAATCCTCTCCCCTCAAGATGTTGACCCCTGCACTGCAACCCCCATCGCCGCCCTTAACAAATCTAACTACTTGCTTTTCCAGCAAGGAGAAAAGATCCACATGCTGGAGAACACCCTCGGGGAACGACCTCCCCCGCGGAGATACTTCAGTCCATCTCCATGGTCTCGCTCCCCTATTCAAAAACATCGGCGAGACGAATCTATAAGCATCTCCTCAGTCAGAGAACGATCCAAGTGGGAGAAGCATGAACACGAGATTACCAGAAGACGAAATCGTACCCCTCCCCAGAGGTACAGTCGCTCTCTCGCTCCCAAGAGGACCAGGCCTTCAGAAATGCCTCATGAAGAGCATCGTAGTCAGCATTGGCACTCTCCTCAACACAATAGGAGTTGGGGACATAACTATTCTCGTAGCATGTCGTTGAGCACGAGCGATGAGGACAACGTCTATGAACCTCTGTCCCAAGAGATCATGGACACCCGCATTCCTCGCGGGCTGGAGAAGCCTCCCCCTCTGACTCTCTATGATGGTACCACAAATCCTGGAGATCATATAGAAAACATTGAGGCCATGCTGCATTACCATAACGTAAATGGGGCGATCAAATACAGGTTGTTCCTCATCACCCTCTGGAAGGGGGCTATGGCCTGGTATAAGAGTCTTCCTCGGGGCTCGGTCACCTCGTGGAGGAACTTAAATGAATAGTTTTCCCGACATTTTACTGCCTCTAGGCGTCACCCGAAATCTGAGGCCACACTCGAAGGTATCATACAGGGCAAGGATGAGTCTCTCCGTGTTTACATCGACAGGTTTAACAAGGAAGAAATCGAGATCCGCACGACTGACCACATGAAGAAGTGACTCTTAGAAAAGGGACTGAGGTCGAAGAGTGACTTCCACAAAGTAGTAGGGATCGATCCTCCTCGTTCCCTGTCCGAACTCCTCTGCCAGGCACAATCCTACATTCAATACGAGGAAAAGGAAGTCGCGTATAAAGCTAGAGATTTGAGGGACCAAGAGAGTTCTAGAGCTTCGAAGAAGGACAAGACAGAAACTTCCAGGTGCGACAGAGACAGGCGACGGGATGATCATCCCCGTGATCATAAGGGGCCTGCTGGTCGCTTTACTGAATACACCCTACTGACTACTCCCCACGAGTGTATCCTTTATGAATGTATCAACGCTGAATTCAAGCAGGGAGGGGTACGATTCCCTAAATCGACTTCATCAAAAGGATACACCGACCAAAGCAAGTATTGCCGATTTCATCACAGTCATGGCCACATGACCGAATATTGTGTCCACCTGAAAGACGCCATCGAGATCCTCATCAAGGAGGGTCACTTAAAACAGTATACGAAGAAGGAAGAAGCCCCCCGACGAGAGACGTCAGAGTCAAAGAAAACAAAAACAAGAGCTTCACCTTTTAGCTCTCCCCCGCAGGTTGCTATGTCTGTTTCACTACTAGAGGACTTTTTCGTCCCCGACTATCTCGAAGATCCTCCATACTTCTCCACGCACATCTCCTGGGAGGCCTTCTCCAGTGCGATGGTCATCTCCTGTGGTGGGTACAACGAGCTCACAGTAGGATCAGTGAAGAGGATATTTGACCAACTGACCGATAGCAGCCCAGACCGACTGTCAACACTCGAAAAGTTCCGAGGACGCTCTCAACACATCACGTTCTATCGTGAAGATCTCCCGAGAGGCTCCTCTAACACGCATATTCCTCTACTTATAAGAGCCAGATTGACCAACACAAATGTCCACCAAATTCTTGTCGACCAGGGCAGTTCAGTAGACATCATGTACACTAGCCTGTTCCGCGCCCTTAAGCTCGACTAGAAGAACTTGTCCCCATATGTGGGCTCGGACTTGCAGGGGTTCAATGGGGCTACCGCTAGACCATGGGGATACGTGGAGCTTTTAGTCACCTTCGGGGAGGAAGAAGCTTCCAAAATGATTAAGATCCAATTCTTAGTCATCGACTGTCCCTCTTTGTACCAGTGTATCCTGGGGAGGCCTACACTTGCCGAGCTTAATTTCATTCCATCTACAGTTCATCTCAAGATGAAATACTATACCGAGAAGGGTCACGTTGTCACCTTACATGGAGACATCGAAGCTGCAAGACGATGCATCGAGGCAGCTACCAAAGGGCAGAGTTCGATTGGTGCAATACCACAAGTCGTCAAACGAGCAAGAGATGAAGATCTTTTGAACGAAGAAAGTCAGCCTGAGAAGAAGCCAACACCCAGGTCCACACCATTGACCTTGATAGTCGAATCTCAGAAGAGGGCGAAGAGGACAACATCGAAGACACGCCAGCACCAACGGGCAGCTTCCCTTCCGCTACTGTCATGCGCCCGGTACCAGACAGGGATTTTGAGGTGATCACGTTCGGGGACAATCACAACAGAGGAGTCATGATAGGTGCATGACTGCCCGAAGAGGTGAAGGAGCAACTGAAGAAATGCCTAAGAGACAACACATATTTGTTTTCCTAGAGTGCCGCCGACATGTCTGACCTCGATCCTGAGACTGCTTGCCATCATCTCACCATCGACCCGTCATCTCAAGCGGTCGCACAACGCAAGTGTAAACAATCCGAAGAAAAGGCAGCAGCAGCAGAAAAACTTGTAAAAGACCTCTTAGAGGCCAAATTCATTTCGGAAGCCAGGTATACAACCTGGTTGTCCAATATTGTATTAGTCAAAAAATATAATGGAAAGTGGAGGATGTGAATTGATTACACCGATCTCAATCGGGCTTGCCCGAAAGACGCTTATCCTAGGCTAGATAACTCTGCTGGTTTCAAACTCTTGTCCTTAATGGATGCATACTTGGGATGTAACCAAATTCCCATGGCAGAGAAGGACAAGAGGTACACCGCTTTCATGACCTCGTCGGACACTACTATTACTACAATGTAATGCCCTTCGGTCTGAAAACTCTGGGGCCACATACCAGCGAATGATGAACAAAGTCTTTCGATCACAAATCGAAGATATGCTCGAGGTATATATTTAAGTTTTATTGTTGTTTTTGGCAAATTATGGTTAATGTTTTTAAAATTTATTTTAATGTTAACATTTAAGTTGAAATTTTAATTTTTATAAAATTTTAATTTTATTGATGATACTAATATTTTTAAATAATTTATTTTTATCTCATTCAAATTAAATAGATTTTTAATCTGCATACTTATTATATTATATTTCAAGGTACCACAAATCTAAATAACATACCAATTTTCTAGATGTCAGATATTGTTAATTTATAGCCAGATCATGGGCACGCTGCATCTATGTTCATATGAATTGTCAGAAAATAGTGATACTTCTAAACTTGATAAATCATGACACTAGAAAATAGAGAGAATGTAATTTCAATTCTACATCAATTGAACAATGAAATAATAAAATAAAAGGGTCCCTCCATAAGGCTAATGGCAACAACTTGTCTTATTCCATATATGATCTTACATGTCATTCATCTTCATAAGTTCATATAGACAAAAAGAAAATTAAACTATGCTTATTTTTCATGTAGAAAACTAGCTTCCAAATTTTGACTGCAGCGAATCAAGATCCGATTTAAACGGGCTGCGAAGTTCTATTTGGTTGCTGAACATTATCTGCAGGGAACTGTTGGGAAGTATCTGATAATGCTGCAGCAGCAGCTGCAGGAGTCATGGATTGGTACTGAGTAACCAATGGAGCATTAGTTGTTTGTTGAGTATAGTACACTTGACCTTCCACATTGCCACCATATTCATAACCATAGTTAGTACCACTAGAAGGAGCTACATTGATTGGATGTTGTGGTTGATGATGGAATTGAGGCAAACCAACATATTGTTGTTGAAATTGATTTGAAGGTACTTGAACAAATGTTGAATTTGGTGGCACATTAGGGTTAGGTGATTTACTAGGGTAAATTGGTGGAGTTCCACTTTGAGGTATTAATGGCCTAATAGAGGACACAACATTAGGATCACTTATAGTATGTTGCAATGTCATGTTGTAAGGTTGTTGTTGTGTGGTTCCAATAGGCATTACATAAATTGGATATTGTTGTTGACCAATTGGATTGTGAAGTTGTTGTTGTTGTTGTGATTGTGGGGGATAAACTTGGTAGTATGATGAGATTGGAACTTGGTTTGTTGATGTAGGGTGGTGGATATAGTGAGTGTTGGAATGAACAAATTGTTGTTGATTTTGATCTAGTTGTTGAGGTAAGATGTAACTAGAATCTTGTGGTTTGTTGTCTATGTTTGTAGGTTGAACTTGGACTTGGACTTGTTCTTGATGATAAATGATTTTGGAGAAAGAATTAGTAGATGCAATACTACTATTATCACTGAAAAAATATTAAACACAAAATTTGTAAGTACTTATTGATTTCAATGTATTAGAGATTTAAACACTTATTGTACATAAGTGATTTAAACACTTATTGAATAGAAGTCACATACTATATAGTCCAAACTTCAACACAGACATTACTAATGGCATGTACACAAAAATGCTAATACAAGTTCGAATTGTCTGACACATATAATAGTCCAAACTTCAACACAGACATTACTAATGGCATGTACACAAAAATGCTAATACAAGTTCGAATTGTCTGACACATATTATATGTGTGTTATACAGATTTTTAACATTGATTTAAAGAATGTCGAAGTAAAGAAAATATTTTTTTTTTTGGACATTTTGCTGAATTTTCTTACCCTTATCTACTATTTTACGAGTGTCATATTAATGTTCGACACTGCTACGCATTCTAGAGGTGTCAATGCTTTATAGATCAAATGCAAATATGCACAAAACTTTGAAACAAAAGCAAAAGAAGTAAAAAAGAACCAAAGAAAAAGGGTAATATAGAACAATTCATAAGAATACCTTGTGACTGAATCTGGTGAAGGAAAACTCAAACCACCACTAGTCCTTGGCTGAACAAGCTGTAATGGTAAAGGCGGTTTTCGAGCTCCAGTTACTCCTCCATAATCTGATCTCTCATCATCAGAAACAACCCTGTTCATATTAACATCATTTGTAATAGTAGTAGTGACAACACCAGCTGAAGCCATAGTCAATGTTGCAGGAATTGCAGCCATAGCCACATTGGCAGAAGAAACAACAAATCCATCATCTTGCTTCATTCCAACTTTATTCTCTTGTTGAAGCCTGCTACCACCGGTTTCGTCAACACGGACACGAATCGGAGGCAAATTCGCCATGGAAGAAGACAAAGAAGAAGAAGATGGACTATTCTCTAGCATAGGTGAACCAGGTGTTGAGTTCACAACATTAGCAACATCAAAAACATTCTTAACATTGTTGTTGTTGTTTTCGAGAAGGTTCAATGACTCTACAACTGCTACACCTTGTGCTTCCAAGTTATTGCTTGAATCACTAGCAGGAACATTATCAAGATTCACAAAAGAATCCCCTGCTGAATCCGACACACCCCTCGAGAGAATCCCTGAATTGTTGAGTGCATCAACAAACCATGTCTCAGATTTTGCATCATCAAGGAGTGATCCCATCGAGAGCGTGGACTCTGGTTTTGTGAAAAACAGAAACACTCTGAGTCTTGAAGAAGATTTCATGGTCGAAGATGCAGATGCTATTCGATCATACTCTTCGATCATGTTTTCGAGATCTTCATCTGTTGTGACTGTGATAAGGCTGTCAAGGTCTTCATTTGGAAGCTGGTACTTGAGAGTAAAAGGTCTTCCATTAAGAATTGTTCTCGAAAGGCGTGAACATAGGTCTTTCAGGGAAGAACTGCGGTCGATCACCACGATTCGAGTGTCGCCGCCAACATAAAAAAGGGATTTATCATGAGGGCGGGGCATAATGTGGCCTCCGTAGCTGCACATTAGACGAAGCTTGGCGTTTGGGACATTAGGTAGAGGCTCATCGTTCATTGCTTCACGTGATCGTGGTGGTGGTTGTTGTCGTGGTGATATTGACTCTAACGAGTCAGGATAATTTGTTTGGATCACATTAGGAGGAGGAACGTTAGATGAGGCTATGGAGATAAGTGGTGGATCCATTAGAATCTATGGTTTTAGAATGAAACAGAACAGAGCGGAGAAGAATAGAATAGAAAGAGGCTCTAGCCACTCTGTTTAGTTTGGTGCAGAGTTAAAACAGGAGAGAAACAGAGTGAACAAAGGAGAAAAACAGAGTGAAAACAGAGAAGAAACAGAGTTAGTGGAAATTGTTGCAAGTGGGAGTTATTCTTCTTTTTCTCTTTTTATGTGGCTTTACATTTGAAAAGAAATGAAAATGAGATGCATTATAAGCAGATAAAGATTCTCTTAGTTTGTTACAACTTGTTTTTGGCTGTATCTAGTACTATCCAGCTTTTGTCTTAGTTTACCAATAGTGGTTTTAAAGGATAAAAAGAAAATGAAAAAAAAAATTCAGCTTGAGACTCAAATAAGTAAAGTGACTCAAGATTACTTTAATTCAACTTTTAACTTAGATTTAGAGTTAGCATTCTTCATTTACACTCCCAATGCTGAAATTTTGGTTTTGGACTATTGTATAATTATTTTATATGATTACGTGGATGAAAGTTAGGCTTTTTTAAGAAGGGATGAAAGTTAGTTGATGAAATATGTAGCTCAAATTGAAGATTGTAGAGAATATTTAATTACTTAGTTTGTCATGGAGTGATTAGTCCAATATTAGGAAAAGAACACTGGTGAAATTTTATTGTCTTCCTTTGTTAGAAGTTTATAGTTTAAATACTAAATCAACTATGATAATAATTTTCAAATTTATGCATTCATATGTTTATTATTTCTTGTAATAATCATATTTGCATCTGAGTGTGAATACGATCTAATTTGGGTTAGTTTTAAATGCACAAGTTAATAATTATTGGTCTATGTTATCCATTCCTATAGATTTTAGATAACTTATCTTTCACTCATCATAAAAATGATAATTAAATCAGCACTCAATATGTCAACCAAAATAAAAACTACAAGTAGAGTAACAAATCATTGAAAGAAAAATAATATTCGCTTGAAAAATGAAAATGACAACTTGATGCATACTCCCATCATAAGTACATGTGTATAGGGTTGAGAAATTAATGTAATTCAAGGCAGTGCAATACCTTAAATTAAATGTGCAATAACTATGTTAATTATTAGGTAGAGATTTGGAGGAACCGATTGTTCTAAATGTGCAACTAGATTGTATCTCTTCGAATATGTATATTTTATGAAATAGAGATTTAGCACAATCAATTGTATCAAATGTGCAACCGGTTGTATGTCTGAAAAGTTTATTTTTTTTTCATTAGGTGGTTATCTATATTGTTTTGTATGATGATTTAAATATTTATGTTGGGTCATTAATGTTAGAATGTCATATTTTCACCATAACTGTCTTTAATTTTCTCATTCTCTTCATTTCTGCATTATTCACCATTGTTTTTGTGATTGGAGTTTTACCCAACATTTGATATTAAGAGTCTGGTTCTTTGATCGGACACTTAGTGTACGAAAATGCTTTCCATCTCCAATGAACTTATTCCAGCAAATCTCTCAATTCTCGATGTGAAGAATTATGGCAAGTGGTGCAAACAGACAAATGTTTTGTTCAGTTTTTAAGATGTTCTTGAAATGATCAAGAACGACGTTAATCCACTTGTAGAAGGTGCATCGACTGCATAAAGAACTACACACAATGAGGAGAAGACGAACAATTTCAAAACTTTGTATCTCATTCATTAATGTGTTAATGCAGATAACTTTGAGAAGGTTGGTGACTGCACATCCTCAAAGCAAGCTTGAGAAATCTTGGAGAAAAGTTATGTAGGAGCTGATAAGGCTGAAGACTCTAAGATTTGAGCAAGTTTTGGTAAAACATGATGTTGCACAAGATGTTCCAACAAGAAGAAATCTGTAAAAAAAAACATGTCAGACAAGATGTCCTAGCATTGTGGACTCGACATCTTAGTCTGGTGAAGCAGATTTGTAGCAGACCTATTCCAAGATTTAAGGTGCAATCAGAACGGGGATCAAGGAAAGATTGGACAGAGACTTCGAAGCCCATGGAATACTAAAGGCTATAAAAGGAAGACCAAGACCTAGGGCATAGTAAGAGAGTAGACCTTGTAACGAATTCTTGTAAAGTAAATATAAGGGTTTAAGGTTTTGAGAATCGTGTACTTTTTTGTGTTATAAGTCACCCTTTGTATCAGTTGATACATTGTGATAGACATAGTTTTTTGATATTCAGAAACATGTAGGTAATGAATTGTATATTGCTCTTGGATGAAGCTATTAAGCAAATTCAAGCATTATTATTAGTCAAGAGTCTTGACTGAATATTATATTGAGAGGGGTGTCTTTCAATTGAACAGTTTGATACAGTTACCAGAGATTGTGAGTGTTAGATATCACTGAGGTGATTTAGGAATTGAGACGGGTTTCTCTTATCTAGATGGTAATTTCTAGATAGAATTATACTAGGTAGGGATTAAGTGAGGAGTTGTAAACGGGGGAGTTTAGCTCTAAATTAATAATACTAATAGTGGATTCATTCCTGGCTTGGTAACCCCCAAATATAGGTGTTGTTATTCACCGAACTGGGTCATTATATCTTGGTGTTCTTTATCTTTTTGTTATGTTAAATTCAGTATGTTCTTATGTTCAAAAATATATGTTTTGATAGATGTTAAAACATCTATCATGACACTGTAATGTATTTGCAGTATTTGGATATTCTTGTTTTTGGTCTTATTTAGTTATGCAGAGATCAATGTCTCGACCTCTCTTGGGACATCTGTGATCAGTATACCAGAATTTTAATTGGTATCAGAGTCGAAATCCTATTCTGTTTCTGGATACGTTCTAGGGAAGATACTTTATGGTCTTTTGAACAAGGAAGAAGACTGTGTGATCAGACCATCCATTACTGTTGTGATCGAGCAGATTGGAAGCTAGGAGAATAACTCTCTAAATTTGGCCTGATAACTACTGATGGTTGACTGAGTGCTCTGTGAAGATTATACCGCTGATGCTGATAATTATGATTGTGTTAAGTATGATGTCTTATAAAATGTTTTGACATCTGTACTAGCTTGTTCAAGATGATGCTGAAGCAAGAATTGTGATGTCTTCCTCTGAAGGATCGTCCTATGTTGCTTGGGAGACGGGTTTAACTAGGTACCTTTAAGGGTAATAGGAGGAAAAAGGTTGAGTTGAAATCTTGTATATAAAATTCATGATCTATGGATTTGGTAAACACTCTATGTCATGTTTTAGATAGCCCAAGATACTTGAGTCATCTCTCAAGTTCACTCATAAAGGCACTGCCAAATGTGTTCAAAAGAGAAGATGGTATTCTAAGGAATACTTATGCCTTGAAGATTTCTATCTAGGTGTTTTATTGAGTAAGGAGGGGTGTCTTATGACATTTTGTGTCTGAAGAATACAGAATTGGGATTTAAAATTAATTGCCATTTGTGGTCTTAACAAGTATTTAATTGATTATCTTTCTTGATTGGTGATGTCAAAAGTGTCACTCCTGAAGGTGTAGCTTCAGATAGGGCAAGAATTCAAGATCCAATGATATGTTCATAGGAAAAGAAGCTAGTGTTCAACTAGATGTTGAAACATCACGACAGAAAAGTATGTGCAAAATCTTGTAGATCTAAGGAGTGAACTTCTTGGATAATGGAGGAATGTAGCATATGTTCTAGAGGATAAACAAATATGTGTTTATCAATAATGTTGGGAATCTTCTTCAGATTGGTCATTAAGAGTCGTTTGGTTTGCAGTCTAGGAAGCCGCTATCCAAGAGTTATGTGTGGGTGAAGATGAAGATCAAGACACCATTAGCCTTGGTGATTTTTCTTTAGGTCAGTTTATTTCGGATCTAGAGCTAGACCTCTTGTTCTCCATTGAAGGATCTTGTGGCATAATTTATGCTAAAGGGCTGTGAAGACATCTCTACCAGTTTTTATGCACATGATTGTCAAGGAAACATGTCTGGGACATTCACTCTGATAACTTGGAGACTTTTCTGGTCTTTCAAAGCTGAATATGAGTGATCTTATTGATAGTTGTGACTACCTCTTCTATTGGTTTGAGTCTGGTGTGGACTCTGATCGTATGTGGATCATTCCCTTGGAGAATTGTGCTTGAAGCAGATTGTCATCTTGGTATTTGTTCCTTCTCTTGAGTCATCTTGAAAAGGAATGGTTGTTGTTTTTCCATTTATATACAGGATGGAGGTTGTTTACTCAAACATGATCAAGTCTATGAGAACATGGAACTCTTATTCTTCTATTGTGGAAAAGACATTTAAGGTGGGATAATGTATGGAAGTCTAAGGGATGTGTGGCTAGTCAAGTCATTGATGTGAATCAAATGTTCTAGCATTGTTATAAACATCAGAATGGATGGTGCTAAAGTCTAATTCAACTTTTGTGAATCATGCAATGGAAAAAGCTCAAGGGAGTTAATGATTGATTGATGTATCATCTAAGTTTTTTGGAATGGGCAATCTAGAGTTCTGTCTGGGGTAAGGGGTGTTAGTATTGGATGTTTCAGTTCTGTTATTCCCACATGATCAAGGACCTTGTGAAAGGTATTCTGTTTGGTTACTCTGAAGGAAAGTGTCTTTAGAGTGTGCTCCAAGGAACTACCTACTCAAGCCTGTTGCTTGATAGTGATGATGTTTTTTTAGCTTATGGTGTACTGTGCAAAGTGGAGGATATAAGTTTGAGGGGCAGAAGAGAAGCAGATCTCGCAGAGAAGTCTGTCTTGGGTATGATGCTCAATCTATATCTTTATGGTTATTATCAGTCATACTGATATTTGTTAGAGGGATTCTCCTCTTTGGGGGCTTAAGGATGGATGCTGACTTTGTAATGTCAGATAAGATGTCTGAACATTGTGCTTCTGGGTTGAATCTTCATGAGGCTTATGAGAGTTTATTTCTCTCTGTGGTATTATGCCTCCTATGATGGTCTATGAGCTGCTATAGCTGTGATCTATTGGAGTCCTCAGTTGACCATATCTTCAGA